AACAGCATGTCAGAAGTAAAAGTCAATTGCTCAAAATATAATATCATATGCAAGTAAAATTTTGCTAAAGATAATTTTTAAATGGCTGCAACAGCCCATGGGCAAAGAACTCCCAGAGATTCAAGCTGAATTCAAGCTGAATCCTTAAGAAAACACATGAATCCATGCAAAGCCCTGCAGTTTCAGAAATGAATAACTCATGCGATCTGCCCTCCCGAAATGAATTCCCATTAATAACACATCTACGAGATTGAACCTAATTATTGAACCTCTAAAGGACAGATCTATGTTGGAAGAAGTGCAGCCAGAGTGCTCCTTGGAGGCCAGGATGGCCAAACTTCATCTCTCATACTTCAGACATATTGTCAGGAGGGACGAGTTGCTGGAGAAGGATATCATGTTTGGTAAGGTGGAGGGTCAGAGAAAAAGAGGAAGACCCCCAACGAGATGGATTGGCCAAGTGGCAGCATCAGTGGATTCAAGCGTGGCAACAGTAGTGAGGTCGGCCCAGGATTGGGCACTGTTTTGTTCTGCTGTGTGTAAGGTCACTATGAGTTGGTACCGACTTGATGGCACCTAACAACCACAACAACAAGGAAAAATATTTGATAAAACTGTTTTTCAAATATGCACACTAATCATTGAAGCCAGTGATGGTAACACTAACATTTCCTGTTTAGCTACTATTCCGTTGACTCATTACGTTAAAGTTCATGCACAGTGGACACCCAGGTGAACCACTAGCTTTATATTATTGGCACAATATTGTGTGTATGTGTGTGATTTCGATCTCACACTGAAATAGAAACATCATCCCTCATCATATTCTCCTGTGTTTCAATAAATCCCCTTAGATTTCTACAGGACTAGTTTCCAACTGCCATCAAAGTCAGGTATAAACATGCCATTCCTCATCAGAACTCATCAAACATGGCAAAGCTAACTTTAAGTACGCTCCCAATGAAAACAACTGACCTGGGTTAAAGATAGGGTTTTGTCAAAGTATGGAGTGCTGCATAATTTTATGAAACAGCAAGCGTCATTTGTAATCCCTCCTTGTCTTCTGTTGTTGTTGTTGTCAGATGCCATAGAGTCAGAACCGACTCATAGTGACCCAATGCACAGCAGAACGAAACAATGTCCGATCCTGGGCCAACATCACTACCGCCGCCACACTTGACGCCATCAATGATGCCACCTGGCCAATCCATCTCGTTAGGGGTCTTCCTCTTTTTCTCTGACCCTCCTCCACCTTACCCAGCATGACATCCTTCTCCAGTGACTGTTTCCTCTGGACAATATGTCCAAAGTATGAGAGACGAAGCTTAGCCATCCTGGCTTCCAAGGAGCACTCTGGCTGCACCTCTTCCAAAACAGATCTATTGGTTCTTTTGGCAGTCCATGGCACTTTCAGTGTTCTCCTCCAACACCACAACTCAAAGGCATCAATTCTTCTACAATCTTCCTTATTCACTGTCCAGCTTTCGCACCCATATGAGGCTATTGAAAACACCATCTCTTCTACCTTCTCTTCTACCACCTCCCAAACACTGGTCCCCAGGAAATGGAAGACTTGGGTTTCAGACCCATGAGCATCCACACAGACTTTCTCCTTTGGAACCTGGGAGGCCCTCTCCATCTTATTGCTGGAGAAAAACAAACTCTCATATTTATCTTTCCCTATTGAGTTGCCTTTTTCTGTTTGACAAAGCAAAGCCAAAAAGTCTAAGCTGTTGGCAATGCATAGTGTAGAGATGTTTTAACTTTAAAAGTGTACTTATTACTTTTACTTTTTTATTTTGTAAGTTAAAATTCACACATTATGTCTACTTTTTTCCCCTTTTTTAATCGTTAATTATTTTTTTTTTACCTTCTCTGTGGCACTTTCGGATCAGCTCTGGACTGCCAACCATGAGATTGGCAGTTCAAACCTCCAGCTGCTCCTAGGAAACCTATAAAGGATCTTTATGAGTTGGCACTGTCTCAATGACACTTAACTGCTATACTACTACCTTCTAGTGTGGAGTCCTGGTGTGGTGCTTTAGAATAGTATTGGACTGAAAGGTTGGTTTGAACCACAAGACCAGTGGTTCAAATCCACCAGCTCCTCCTCAGAAACCCTATACAGTGTCACTATCAGTCAAATTGACTCAATGGCACTTAATGGCAATGACACCAGACCTTCTAGTGGTACTGTAGGATAAGCACTGGATTGCTAATTTCAAATTCTGCAGTTCAAACCCACCAACTGCTCTTTAAAAACCTTAAACAGATCACTATGAGTCAGAATCAGCTTGAAGGCATTTATGAACAATAGCAACAATTGGGCATTTAGTGATTTATACTCCCAACACCCTACGTTTCCTGGGCCCTTTTCTATTAGTTTTGTCCTTATAATCTTGAAAGAATTGTCTACCTAGCAAAGTATGGGATTTTCATCTGTTATTTACCTTGCGGATATTTTTCCAGCTATATGGTTTTTCCCATTTAATTTTATGATGATTTTCACACCTATATATATGTTTGTGTTGATTGTTTCCATAATAAAACGTAACAATCTTTCAGAACTCCTCTGTTTTTGTGAGAGACTTCAGAAAGACTTTTCCATCTCAACATTTTAAAAGCAGTTGTACATATTCTCTAATATGTTTCCATTTGTCATTTTTATAGATTTATTTCTTTTAATTGTGATGTCTTACAGACTTTTAGATTCATACTTATAAAGTAAAACGGAATGTGATCCCTTACACAGCCTGGTATTTGGTTTAAGTATTGTCCCGTTGGTTCTGACTCATAGCCACTCCATACAGGGTTTCTGAGGAACAGCTGGTAACTAAGCCACCATCCTTGCAGTTAGCAGTTCAGTGCTTATCCTGTAGCCCCACACCATGACTCCTTATGCCACCTCGCATGTGAGGTTGGTGTGCTTCGTGTCTACAGCCAATTGCTTTGCTCATCTGAAGCGACTCTGAAATGAACAGGCTGAGGACTTGTCTGTGGAAGGAGCAGAGCTGGGGGTGAGGGTTCACTGCAGGAAGCCATGGTCCAGCTGAGAACAGAGGACAGATGTGACCAGCACACAATTCATACCTATTTCCAAGCACAGAACTGAAGTTGGTTTTAGATCTGAACATATTGTCATTGTGCCCATCTTTTTTGGAAGAAGTGCAGCCAGAGTGCTCCTTGGAGGCCAAGATGGCCAAACTGCGTCTCTCATACTTCAGACATATTGTCAGGATGGGCCAGTCACTGGAGAAGGATATCTTGTTTGGTAAGGTGGAGGGTCAGAGAAAAAGAGGAAGACCCCCAACGAGATGGACTGGCCAAGTGGCAGCATCGATGGACTCAAGCGTGGCAACAGTAGTGAGGTTGGCCCAGGATCGGGCAGTGTTTCGTTCTGCTGTGCATAAGGTCACTATGGGTCAGTACCGACTCGATGGCACCTAACAACAACAACAACAAATTGTAGTCAACATCTGTTTGGTTCTTTCTCTTTCATTTCATTTTCTTCATTGCTAATTGAATTCTATAATATCATCCTTCCAAATGCATTCCTGCTGATAGACACATTTAGATAAACTTCATTGGTTAAAATAAAATGAACAGGTTTTCAGGCTATTTCCCAAAGCCTACAACAGGATTTGATCATCTGATTTAAATGGAGGCTGAGAATCAAATCAACTTAGGTTGTCACTGACCTCAACAATGTACCCATCACTCATTATGGGGACATTTAGTCTTTGGGTTGGCAATGCAATTAACAGCAGGAGTTACTATTGTGTGTTTTCAATTCAGTCCCTACCCCTATACAGGCCCTACTCACAGATGACAAAGTAGAATGGCCCCATAGGGTTTCCTAGGACGAAGTCTTTACATGAAAGGAGTCCCAGTTACCCAGTGGCCAAGTGCTCAGCTGTTAACTGAAGGTTAGTGGTTTGTACCCATCAGCCAGCCACTCCCTGGAGACAGATGTGGGAGCTTGCTTCTGTAATGGCTACAAAACCAACCTGTAGGATAAACACTAGACTACAAAGTTGCTTTGAACCGTAAGGTCTGAGCCCAAACTCACCACCTGGAAACCTTATATAGGGTTGCTAGGAGTCAGAACTGACTCCACGGCACTTCACAACAATAACAACCCATATCCATCGAGCCAATTCTGACTCATAGCCACCATCCTACAGGTCAGAGTCGAACTACCCGTGGAGTTTCTAAAGCTGTCATCTTTACGGAAGTAAACTGCCTCTTCTTTCTCACTGTCAAGCACTTAAGTCCTTGCACCGACAGTGTTCCTTTCTGTAATGTTTGCAGCCTTAGGAATCCTGTAAGGTAGTAGTACTCAGCCCGCCAACATGGGTGAGTCAGAATCAATTCTGCAGCAAGAGGAGGAGAGAAGAGCTGTAAGGGAATAGCTCCCTAAGCCTTGTTTTCCCCAGAGTGGCTGGTGGATTTGAACCTCTGACATTTCATTTGTCACCGGAGGATTGGCCATTGTGCCACCGGGACACTATGGTACTAGTTAGCGCTCTGATTCTCTGACAATAAACTGCTAATGATTTTCTTGCCTTTGTTTCTCTCTTGTTCATTCTTAATCTTTTCCTTTTATATTCCTATTTCATAGCCTGTCATCTCTTCAGTGGAAACATGGGTCAGCTACATATGGTACTGGTGTTTCCTTTGAGAAATGGCTAGTGTTCCCAACCATGAGGAAAAGAGCAAACGCATCTCTCACAATACATGATAGCATCAGTAGCAGGGCACGTCCTGACTGTCAAGAGGTTAAGATGTAGGGGGAGCGTGACCATCTTCTAACAGAAGGACTTCACTAACAAACATTATGAAGACAGGTCAGAGAAGTAGGAGGTCAATAGTTAGCCAGCTGGTCATTAGCTCCAAATCATGGTAAGATGTTTAAAGAGAGCTCGTATTAGTTCTTCATCTGCCTTGTACAGCCAATCTTGCTTGTGGGTCTTAACTGTCGGCCTCACCCTTGCACACAGGACAGATGACCACAAGAACAAGCTGCTACCAAGACCTGAGGCTTCCAGTGAATGCATCCTTCTGCAACCCCAAGACGCGACCTGTCACAGGGATGGTATCTTGTAAAGTCTCTGCCTGTCCTCCCAGGTAAGGGGCAAATATTCTATTCAGCTTTCCAAATATATTTTCTGAAGTTCCTGGGTATAGAGAATGAAAATGCTAGTGAGTCTCCTGTAGTTTCAAAGAGCAAAAAGGCAAAAAGGCAAAAAAAAAAAAAAAAAAACACCCACAGTATTGGGGTCAGGGCAAAGACTAGACTTTCCAATGAATGTAAGTGGAGATCTGTCTAAAGGAATCGGGTTTGCTCTGTCTTTACTCAATTAACAGGCTAGCCCCAGGGATGATCC